CTCGGTTACAGCAGTCGTTGGCCGTCTCCTCGTCACCCATACGCAGGTGCGTCAGTTTCCCCTCAAGCTGGGCGATGAACAGGTCGTCGGTGACCTGGTACGTGGACTCGATAAAGTGCCACGCCTGGTGGCCGGCGTCGAGGTACTCCCTGCACCACTTCAAGGCGATCTGCACGCCCGGCGAGCAGCACCGTGAGATGACCGTGAAGGTCAACAGCTGCACGGCGCGGAACTCCGCACGCAAGTCGGGGTAGATCTCCTCTGGCGTCGCCACGGTGCCGCGAGCGAAGCCGATCAGCCCGGCCATCTCCAGCTGAGGCTCGATCGCCTCCTTCCACGTGAAGATGTCGGGTCGACCGACGAGCGGGGGGGTGACCGAGATCCTGTCCGGCGTAAACTTGAAGTAGCCGTAGCTCGGCGCAATCCCTCCTGCCGTCACGTGTGTCGCCGACATCGGCGCTAATCCACTTTGTTGGCCTCCGACGCCGCCTTGCGAGGCCCCTGCAGCCGCCGACGACTGCATCCCTTGCGCCTGAACGCCGCCGACTTTATCGGCGTGAATCACATCACACTGCCTCGACGACGTGCCTCCCGCACTGCTGCCGACCTGGCCACCACCGGCGTTGACGCCCACGTCGACGCCGCCCTCGGTGTTCACCGGTCGAGGAGAAGCAGGCCGAGAAGGGTGCTCCGTCGCCCACAAGGAACGGATGCCAGCCTCGACGACCGCCCAAGGCAGGTCGCCATACTCGTTGGCCTCGTGCTTCCTCCTCGCGTTCTCCAGCCGTGCCTCCAGGGTGTCCACCACCCCCGTGTCACCTACGGCGCCTACCATGGTGACTAACGCACAGCTGCCGGCCTACGAACACAATCGGTAAATGCAAAGTCGGCTAGACTGAACTACGTCGCGGTGTCGTCCACGCTCACCGCACCATGCGGAGATAACTCTAGCAACGGGAGCTTGACTACAGGGAAGATACGTTGTGTGAGAGAGATCTTTGCATTCCTTAGTCGTTTGCTTGTGTGTTCTCTGCTTGCACATTCACGGGGAGATTTTGCAAGAGTTTTACTAGCAAAGGTTCACAACAAAGGTTCAGAATGATTGCAACAACATTGGCAACGCAGACTACATCAGAGCTAGCTGGACTGCTGGTCGACCTCCAGCGCAGCACGGTCGACCGCGCTCCAGCGCAGCAATGCTCGCACCGCTCCAGCGCTGCAGAGCTGCGGCGCGCCAACGTTGCAAGTCTGCGGTGCGCCAACGCTGCAGCAAGTCGGCTGCACAGCGTTGCACCCGCATGACAACGGTGCACCTGCTTCGCAGGTGCGTGCAGCTGGTTGGTGCTCCACGCCTGGTCACGAGCACACCGCAGACGCCTAGATCGAGCCCACGCCAGCGACTGCGCCCACCAGCCACGTCGACCTCGGGATACCACCCCCAAGGTCGTCCTCGCAGAAACCGCACCCGGCGACCTTCGCACACGTCGCCCGGGTATCCCGGTCGATCGGGCAACCCTGCCTGGTCGTACAGCCCAGTCGGACGCCGGTGACACCAAGCCCGGCGTCCCCAGGTCGGCGTCCTGGCGTCCAGGTCGGCGTCCACTCGCCCAGGACGCCGTCCAGGCGCCCAAGTCGGCGTCCAGACGCCCGGGACGCCGAGTAAGCGCTCAGGTCGGCGTCCAGTCTCCCCGGACGCCGAGCAGACGCCCAGGTCGGCGTCCAGGCGCCCAGGACGCCAAGCAGACACCCAAGTCAGCGTCCAGGCGCCCTGGACGCCGAGCAGACGCCCAGCTCGGCGTCCAGCCTCCCAGGACGCCGTGCAGATGCCCAGGACGCCGCCCAGACGCCAAGGACGGCGTCCACCTGCTCGGCGCCCATGCAGTGGCCCCCGTGCCCACTACTGCAGGTCGGCTGCATCTCCTGCGCATCCGACCACGAGGTCGGCTCCGCCCAAGCGAGGACGGGGCCAAACATCACTCCCGTTGACAGTCCAACCCATTCCTGCCTAGGATTCTCAACATGGTTTCAGAGCAGTAGGTCTGTAGGGCCGTCTTTTTTTTTGTCTCAACCGGCGCAGCGCGCGCCGTCTGCCTGCTGTCTGCTGTCTGCGCTGTCTGCTGCTGCTTCGCGCGCAGACCTAATTTCACGCGCTGCTGCCTGCTATCTGCTGTTGCCCCGCGCGCGTCGCCCTTGCAGCCCGCGCGCGCCTTGCTGCTGCCCCGTGCACCGCACGCGCAGCCCGTCCGCGGCCCGCAGCAGCCCCGCGCGCCATCCGCGCAGCCCGCACCGAGCCCGAGCAGCCCGCGCGCGGCCTGCTGTTGCCCCGCAAAGCCAGCGTCGAGCCCGCGCAGCCCGCGCGCGGCCCGCTACTGCCCCGCACAGCCCGGCCGAGCCCGCGTAGCCCGCTGCTGCCCCGCGCACCGCCCGCGCAGCCCGCGCCGCGCTTTCGCCGCCCGCGCACGGTCCACCCCAGCCCCGCGCGCCACCCTACCTGCTTGCGCCGCGCTGCTGCAGCCTGCCCGCCGTTTGCTGCTCCCCCCGTGTGCTGCCTGCGCTGCCTCTGCCTACTGATTTCACCTACTTCCTTTACCTGCTGCACTTCTCTGCACTGCAGTTATGACGACGCCTCATATTCTCGCGTTTGAGCCTGACGGTAGCCCGATCGAGTTCACAGTGTGGCTCGACGATCTCCAACTGTTTCTTATTAGTGATGCCAAAGATGGCGTTTCCCTGTTCGCTCGCGTGTCTGGCACTGCCCCTGCTCCTGCTGCCGATGCTTCTGCGCTTGACCTCTCACAGTGGCAGACTCGCGATGCTGCTGCGCGCCTCGCTATTCGCAATCATCTGCCGATCCCCGAGCGCGCGCATTTTAGCCAGCACAAGACTGCTAAGGCACTGTATGACGCTGTAGTTGCGCGCTACTCCTCCCCGGCCACTGCAGCCCTAGGTCAGCTCGTGCTTCCCTACCTGTTCCCCGACCTATCTCTCACGTGCGCGCTAGTGACACTCGCTTTCGTTCCGCCCAAAAGGGCGAGTTCTCGCCAAGAACACCCCTCCGATGTACTTTACGCTCTACTTCCTCGTCACCCGCCTCCCTGACACTCTTCGCTCAGTCAGGGACCACTTTCTCGCTCTAGACCCTACCGCTCTCACCGTCGACGACTTCGAGACGCAGCTTCTCGCAGCTAAGAAGAACATCCTTGCTGTGGGTGCGGCTCGTGGCACTCCTCGCACTCCCCTCTTTGAGGGGTGCTCCCCCTCCCCCCTTACCCCCTCCCACGCCTCTGCTGCTTCTACTGTCGACTTCCTTGGTGCTGAGGAGGTTGGGGCTGCTTTCACTCCTAGTGGGAAGCGCCGCAGCGCCCGGGGCAGAGGGGCTGGCACGAGAGGTGGAGGTGGCGGTGGAGGGGGCGGTGGTGGTGGTGGCGGGGGAGGTGGAGGGGGTGGGGGTAGTAGAGCCGGTGGTGGAGGCGGAGGTGGTGTCAGAGGTCCACTGGTGATCCCCAATTGATCCTAGGGAAGGGTTACAGGCACGTTGGCCTGGGGGGTTATGGACGCACTCACCCGCTACACAAACAAGCCCTTTTATCCCAGTGGTTAGTGGCTGGGATTCTGACATGGTATCAGAGCAAAGGTCTCGGGTTCGAATCCCGGTGTGTGCACTTCGGGCATCCCAGTGCGGGGGGGTGTCAGAGGTCCACTGGTGATCCCCGATTGATTCTAGGGAAGGGTTACAGGCACGTTGGCCTGGGGGGTTATGGGCGCACTCACCCGCTACACAAACAAGCCATTTTATCCCAGTGATTAAAGGCTGGCTGAGATTCTGACATCTCACGCAGTTGAAGAAGCTCTAGCCACTGGAGATTAGCAACTGCTTCAAGCTTGCACTGGTTCCAGAGTCATTCGTGAATCGTTCCAAGCTAAAACCTGTTATCTTGTCAAGGTTAAAATTTCTACAATTCCAAATGATATCTGGAAGCTTTGTTCCCTCAAGGAGTTGCTGATCCTGGGACTGACTCGGTTGCGAAGCGTGCCATACTCCTTCACTCGGGTGCCTAACCTTGCGGAGCTGGAAGTGCGCGCGTGCAAGAAGCTGGCTCGACTGCCACCGTCTCTCCAGAGAATGCCGATGCTGCGTGAATGCAGCATCTGTGAATGCCCTTTGCTGCCACAGCCAGCCACGAGAGGGGTGTCGTGCCTGCCTGCGAGGAGAGAGGGGAGAGAGGGAGAGGAAGAGGAAGGGGAGGTGGTGCTTTATGAAGAGGAGGGGGAGGAGGGAGGCGATGTGGCAGTGGAAGGTAAGAGGCGGACGGGGAGGAGATGGTGGTGCTTTATGACGAGGATATTGAGCATGAACTTTGTTTGATCACTGACTCTGATGACTACAGGGGAGGCTGGGGGCACACTAGTGATGATGATGATGATGAGTAGTAGGATGAATCAGATTGAGCTCGACATTATTACCAGATGCATAACAACAGTACCCAAGTGTAACAAATACACTGTAACTTGTAGGAGTTTACCCAAATGTAGAACTACTGAAATGTATATTAGTCAGCATGATTTCACATCCTAACAAACTAGTGATTTCGTTCGGGGAAACCCAAAATCCTTGACATTCTGGTGACGAGCAAACTTTGCTGGAGTGCCGGGAAGGAGTGGCCTTTTAGAAAATCAACAGCTTCCTCAAAATCCGGCTGTTCCCCCCCATAGCCCTATGCACCTCCATCTCATGCCACAGCCGCCTTCCCCAGCTGGCCCCCAAGGTGTTGCATTGAGCATGCGGATGGCAGTGTCTGTCCTCCCTGCCCCCTGTGCGCCCATCACTCCTCACTGCAACCCCTCCCCTCTCCATCTCTCGCAGGCTCCTCCTGGGGTCGACAATGCCCTGCTCTGTCAATCTCACCCCTGCCCTCACCGCAGCACCATCCAGCACGTTCCTTACCCCTTGGCCCATCTTCACAGCTGTCCTCCATACCGCAGCAGCACCAGTCTCTAACTCACTCCCCGGGCAGCGGCTCTGCAATGTGGTCCCAGGGAGGGGATTTGCACGCGCTGGGGTTGAGCTTCTGGATGCACCGCGCCTGCACGCCCGACCCCGCCTTCACCAGCTCCGCCACCTCAAACTCCTCCCCCTCCCCCTCGCCCCCCTTCCCTTCCCCCTCCCCTCCCCCAGCAGCAGCGGCCTCGGAAGCCCCTCTGGCGCCGGCCTGGTGGGCGGGGTCCCCGGGGGGCACTGGCACTTCATTCCACAGGTCGTCCACAATGATCACCTGGCACCCCGCCGCCACCGCCTGCTCCCACATGAAGCGCGCCAGCGGCGAGCGCAGCGACAGCACGGGGCAGATGACAAAGTGCCCCGACGCAACAAGGTCGCGCGCCGTGGACCCCAGCGACTCCACAATCAGCGCCGCCTGGTCCGGCGAGTGCGGGATGTCCCCGTCGCCCGCCGCCGTGTGCGCCGTGAACATGAGGCGCCCCTCGAGGGTGGGCGCCATGCGCTGGTAGACGGAGATGGCGCTGCGCGAGGAGAGGAAGAAGAGCATGTGCGAGGCCGCGGAGGCGAGTGCGGGCCAGGCGAGGCCCGTGCGCACGGCGATGTTGAGCGTGGGGTGCGTGCCACGCACGTCGTCCGGGGTGATGATGCGCGCTCGCGGCACCACTGACTGGATCTCCGCCTCCAGGTCCAGCAGACACTGGTGCCGAACGGCAACGAGGGGGGGCACAGGGGACGACGGGAGGGGAGTGGGGAGGGGAAAGAGAGGTCGGAATTTAATTTCAAGAGGAGTGAATTAGTGGGTGGGTGTGGCATGCGAGGCATGCATCTCATATGTATCGTTGCACCCTCTCTCTCCCCTTGTGCTTGCCCTCGCTAGAGTGAGGTGCAATCGGTAAAGCATCAAACAAAATCTGCATCCCTTGGTTCAGCCGTAAGCCGCCACCACACATCCCAGCATGCAGGCACAGGCCTCAATCCACACCTTTCCCCCTCTCATCATTGTGTCTACTCGAACCAGCACGAGCAACTGGCCATACTGGCAGGTGCTCGCTCAGAGCAGCACTGCATTGCGCAGGTCAAGTGTCGCAAGCACCTGTCAGCCATGTGTGCTTGTGAGCCCTGCCCCCGTGCCCAACAGCAAGCACCACACACGTCACAACTGCTCACCCGGCATACACACGACACTACCCAATGTCCCAACAATGCTTTGCCTAACACGCACCACCATAACCCCTCTCCCCCCCTCCACCCTTCTCCCCGCTCACATCACAACCATCCCCCGCTTTCCAAGCTTCTCCAGACATTCACATGGCCCACCCATTCTCCCCTCTTACCCTCTGTCCCACCGTTTCGGTGAGACAATCTTCCCGAATACGTCACCAGGTTTGTCCTAGAGCAAGTCCACACTCCAATGCGTCCCATCTCGTTTTCGAGTAGAAAAAATAAATAACTCTTTCTTGTGCTTTATTCTATTTCTTTTTTCCCCAATGATTACCATGAAAACCCGCCTCTTACATGCAAAGTATGTGGAATAGAACAGTATGCATGATGTGAAAAACCCAATCGCCTCATCAACGTTACACCTCTACTTCACAATTTCTGGCACCTGATTGGGACCCCCTGTGAAGGCATACCTGCTCATCGATGGGCAGAGGCGAGGTGAGGAGCGTGTTGAGGGGGCGGATGAAGGCGGAGGCGTCTCCAAAGTCGATGGCGATGGCGATGGGCACGTGGCGCGGCGAGGCGTCGCTGAACTCCATGACCTGCAGCAGGCAGTCGCGCAGCGTCAGACACGTCGACCCAAAGTCCACGTCCGGTACCCGCAGCACCTGCGAGGGTACGGGGGACAGTGGAGAGGGGGGATGAAGGGGGCGTGGGGGGGATGTGGGTTGGAGCCAGGGAGGGAGCCGGGAGGAGTGGCGCATGCAGGAGGACCTCAATGGGTAGAGCGAGGCAAGGAGAGGGCGCTTGGTCAGCTGAGTGAGCGGTGGTGCAAAGGCGAGGGAAGCAGGAGCAAAGCGGGGCGAGAGGGTGTAGTTCACCGGCGATGACAGCTGTGGTTGTTGCGAGCCATACTGCATTGTTATTGCTCTAGCGTCAGTGCTGCTTCCCCTGCTATGCGTGTGTGTGCCTCCCTCAGCCTGCCCCGACCCTGCATTCGCGTGCCTTAATGGCATGGCTGGCGCGCTTTGCTTCGCCACTCCTATCGCGGTTAAGATTCATTAGGCCGGGAAAGGGGGGAGGAGGGGAGAGGGGGGAAGAAAAGGGCGCGGGAAGGGGGGAGGAAGAGCGCGCGGGAAGGGGGGAGGGGGGGTACCTTGAAGCCGGGCGCCTGCAGCTCGGGGCGCATGGAGGCGGTGGGGCGGCCCAGCTGCTCGTACACCTTGCGGTTGAAGTACCGCCCGCCCGCCGGGTCGTAGAACACCTGCGCATCGCATGCCATGCCACGGGGTAGCGGGGGGGTGGGGGGGGACGGGCTGATGGAGACGCGGAGGGAGCGAAGAGGTGGAATTGTGGTGGTGTGGTGCAAGATTACTCTGAACATCTCGTCCCGGAGTTGACATGCCCCCGTGCATGGACGTGCTACCAGCATTGAGCACATCACCCCCATCCGTCCTCCCATGCGCCTCGCCCTCACATCACTACCGGCCCCGCGCGCGCGTGTCGCAGCCTGCGCTCGTGGCATTGAAGCGCAACACGCACGTACACTAAATTCCCCCGCCGCGCCCAAATTCCCCGGCAAGAACGCGCGAGGCGCGACTCACGTCGAGCTGGATGAAGCGGTAGCCGGCGCGCAGCTGGTCCTTGAGCGGGCGGTGCGAGAAGTTGGACGACGCGATCATGGTGGCGAGCCCCGCCTCCTCCATCCACCGCATCACGTCCGCCTCGGGCGCCGCGTGGTAGCTGTACCGGCTGCCCAGCGTCTGCACCTCGTTCACGCGCACCACGTGCTCCTCCCACGCCGCCACGCCCACACCGTCGCCGCCGTCCGCGCCGCCGTCCCCGCGGGAAAAGACGGCGATGGTGGCGGCGAGCAGCGCGAGCACGATGAGTAGAAGCGCGCCCATCAGCACGGCGGGGCCCGCGGCGAGCTTCCCCGGCAGGCTGGGCGGCGTCATGGATGCCCACGTCCGCTCGCACCACGCGCGGATGCTTTCCGCGGAAAACGCGCTCCCCGCGCCCGCCAGCCCGTGCGGGAATAGCCGGTGTCGTGGGGAGGGCCGCGCAGCCGGGGGGAAGTGCGGGATGCGCGCGGAGACGAGGACGCCCGGCGACAGCAGCATCTCGATGTCGTCGTTCTCCTCGTCGTCCGCCGACATGCCGCCCGCTCCCGCCGACGCCACGCCGTTCCCCATCGCTCCCGCTCCTGCGGCGGCGGCGGCGGCGGCGGAACCCTTGCCGGCCTTGTTGCCGGCGCGATGGTCGTCGTCCTGCTGGTCGAAGTCGATGCTCAGCGGCCGCAGCCGCCGCTTCACGTCGCGCGACTGCAGCTTGCTGCCCGTCGCGCCCGCCTCGTCCTCGAAGCGCCCTCTCGGGCCATTCGCGTACGGCAACTCCGGCCGTTCCGCGATCTGCGGGAGAAACCCGCGGGTTGTGGCGCCATTCGTGCCGTCTCTGCCCGCTGCAGCTGCTGCGGCGGCGACTGCAGCGGCCGCGGCTCGCGCTTTCTCCCTGAGCGACGGGCCGGGCTGGCGGGCGGCGTCGGGGGACGGCGACGGCGAGGCGTCCTCGTCCCACACGTCGGCGAGCGACGGGAGGGGTGTCGGTGGCCCGGGAGGGAGAGGCGACGGCGGCGGTGGCGGAATCATGTATGTAAATTCGTACAATAATTAGAGGGTGGGGCACAGCGAAAATGTGAGGTGCGGACAGTGAGGAAGCGTGAAAGGTGACAAGTCAAACGCACGACAATGGCGACGAGGCAAGGGAAACAGAATGCAGCGACGAGGTGGAAGATGCTAACGCAAGCCTACACCAATTCCCGACCATGGTCCAGCGCTGATAAGCTACGTCTTGACCAAAGTAGTGAAGGAAACTAAAACTCCTAGCGAGCTGCTTGCAGTGGAATAAGTGATACGGACGGAATGGTTGGTTGCTATGCTTGCTTGCTCATTGTGGTCATTGTGGTTGAGTTGTGTTTATGAAGGGGAGTAGGAGGTGGTCGATGTTGGCGAGTTGGTGGTGCTGGTGGTTGCACTGCACAACGACTGCCATCCTTCGCACACCAAAGCCTGACACGTCAGACTGCCGCAGGCTTGAGGTGGGGGGGGGAGAATCTCACGGGGAACCGACAGCAGGCATCGTAGGCGAAAGGTGATAAACTCGTGCTCGTTTCGCCAACGCGCCACCGATATGAACCATCATGAAAACTGCAGTGCCAAGTTCATTTGAAGATACATAAAAGTGTTTATACGTTCCACAATATGCAGGCATTTTCACACCCCCAACATCCCTGCAGAATACCTAGGGGTGTAGGGGTGTACTGATCGTCCCCCAACCCCAGTGGTGGCTCACGGAAACCTGGTTCAGGCACAAACCGTGAGTTCGCAACAGGTGTTGGCCTCGGTTCGTCCTGGTTCGCATCCGGAAAGCTGCTCCCGGTTGAGCGTAGATCGTCACAACCTCAGGTTGGTCGGGAGGAACCATTTTGTTTTCAACCGACATGTCGCCGCGTGTGTGGATTCCAGGGGGTCTAGACGCGACTTGCTTGCGACAAGAGACATAGGCTAGCAGCAGAGCATCTTACGAACTTGGGTGGGGATATTTCTGTCGTATTTCAACTGCACACTCTCAACCGATATTTCCTCTCCAACCTAACGGATGCCCGTTAAACTGTATGCTATTTGTTTTACTGCTTTTCATGCTATAACAACAGATACTATATCTTTACAAAGAAAAGCATCGCACAAGAGGAGAGGAACGGGAAAGAAAGACACCAGAAACAACTCAAACGCAACACCCATAAAAAGCCCCATAAAAATACTCTATAAAGAAAAAACCCAACCAGGATCCCCTACCAGACGTCCCATCTCGCACCCCCCCCCCCCCCCCCCCCCCCCCCCCCCCCCCCCCCCCTCCCCCCCAAGTCACATCTGCACATCCACCATGTAGGGGGCCTCCACCCAAAGAGGCCCGCCCTCCACCTCGACATCGTCCCTCTCCCGATCCACCAAGTCCACATTCAACCCCCCCATGGAAGACGCCGCCCGAAGCAGGATGACACGAGCTTGCGCCCGTTGTAACGCCACTCCGATGAGCGCCTTCAGAGACCCCAAAAGGTAAGCCGAGAACGAAGTGTCATCCTCCCGACAAGCCCCCCGTGACACAGCTAGCCCCACGTGCGCGTCCCCCTGCTGTCGAAGCCACCGCCGGAAGCGACCGCCGAGACACCCCCACGTCTCCACTATCAAAGGGGTGAACTGCACGCCTCGGTTCCGTGCAAGAAGAGGCGCGTAATCCCCCGTTTTGCGACGCTCCCACTCCTTTGCCGCCACGCCTATAGACCGCCCGCACTGCCCTAGCAGAGATGGAGACAGTGATAGCGGGTCCGCGACACTAATCTCTAAAGCATGAGCCTCCCCAGCCATTGGTCGTCGCACCGCTACGTCAACCCGCTTCCCCGGCAGCACCGCACTATCCTCCATCGTCACCACCCCCCCTGACGCCTTAGCGATCTTTGCCACCGCAAACTTCACCTCATCATGCACCCGAGATGGACCGTGTTGGTGCTTGCATCTCAGCGCATGATGCGGGTCTGCTGGGTCATCATACGCTGCGCCACAAACACACTTCCCCGCCACTTGCAGCTGCTGGATTGGGAGACCAAGCCGTATAGCAGCAGCAATGCCCCACTCCGCTGCAGTGAAAGTGAGATCTGAATGATCCGGAACTGCCTAAACCCATGCACCAGCATATGTAGAGTATTTGCAGTACTGGAAACTGGCTGTGGGAGGTGACCACCATGAGAATTTAATCGGAGTCGGTTGGGAGTGCTGAATCCAAACATCAGGAGCGTCCAGTACATTACCCCCTAAAAATTAAACTGGATGTGGGCGTCACGGAGACGCCCTTTTTGTACAGTGCGCTCTATAAGTCTCTCGACCCGACATTGGTAAACCTCAAGCATGGAGGAAGAGGGGAAAAAAAAAGCAAGGGAAACTATATCCTAGATCCTTACTTTCAGATTTCTCTCATATTTACCCCCAGGTTTACTCGAAAGGTCCCACTTTCTGGGATTTGGCTCACGCGAGGCCCAAATTATGTTCAAAACTGGTCCCGTAGGGCTCAAATATTGACGGGGCACAAAAACAATAATACCCCTGGGGAAACCAGGACACTTGTTCGGGAGGGATCAACCCTAAACACGGGAACCCGCCCGGTGTTTAGGGTTGATCCCTCCCGAAATGTATCCCGCGGGCAAAAATTAAACCCCTTGGCTTACGGCATGCCATTCGGGAGCATCAACCCTAAAATTTTAGGGTTGAGGCTCCCTCGGATGGCATCCCATCCGAGAGGGTTTTAGTTTTTTTCTTGCCCGCGGTCAGCTTGCTGACTCGATTGCACTGCCTGCTTACGCAGGCAGTGCAATATATTACCCAAATTGTGTCCCGTTTCCCCAGGGGTATTATGTTTGGTTTGCCCCGTATAAAAAACCTTGCACGAAATCGACACGTGTCGTAATTTCTGCCCCGCAGGACCAGTTTTGAACATACTTTGGGCCTCGCGTGAGCAGAATTCCGCAAAGCTGGACTTTTTGGGTAAACTCGGGATCAAAATTGAGATATTTTTGAAACTGTGGAGCTGCGATGTACTTTCCCAAAAAGCAAGCTATGTAGTGAAGCCCTTGTCCTTTGCGGCCTGCTGCCAAGACATTAGTTGTCGCAAGCTGTCAAGTAACTGCCTCAAGGTGCCATTTCGATAAGACTATGTGTACAAATTTGAGTGTAATTGGTCTAGCGAGGAAGCTAGGATTGCCCAATAGAATCAAACTAGTACAAATGTGAGCGAAGACAGGAGCTAAATATGCAAAAGGTAACGCGGGCTTGCGAGCTAGCTAGTGCGACGCTGGCGGCGAGGCTCTGGCTAGTCCCGAGTGTAGGCTGACTTGCCTATTAGGCTGAGAAAAGTCCTAAGGATCTTTAAGAGACTAGTCATTGTAGTCAAACTATATTTGTATTAGTAGATGGGCTGTCGTGAGTTGCATGTTAGGGAATACTGAAGGCTTAGCGAGCCACGCCCTGCCCGTTCGCAAGCCCCTCACTACCCTGCCCCGTACCCATCATGCCCCTCTGTCCACGCCCCACCTAGTCCCGTACTGCTCGCGCGATCCTCGAGTGCCAAACTACCGGGTCACTTGTATGCGCGACCCACTGGCACGCGCAACCGCACATGTGCGCAATTGTGCCTACGCAGCAGCGCACGCGCATGCAGCTGAATGTGTGCCAGCGGGACGAAGAGCAGCTGTGCGCTGCAACTACCGTCTGCACGCACTCTTGCGACGCGCGCAGCAGCAACCGCACGCGCTGCAGCAGCCATTCGCGCAACAGCCGCAGCTCATGCAGCAGCAGTGGCTGTCTGCGCACGAAGCAGCTTGCATACGCCACTGCAGCCACGCACACCTCTCGAGCCGCTCGTGCAGCTACAGCAGTAGCCCCACGCACAGCTACCCACACACTAGAGCCGCACGTGTCAACGAGAGTTGTGTGTTGGCCCCGTCCTCACTTGGGCGGAGCCGACTTCGTGGTCGGTTGTGCGGGAGGTGCAGCCGACTTGCAGCAGTGGGCGACGCCGACTTGGGCGAGCTGGTCGACGAGTCTAGTTGACCTGTACGGGGCTACTACGAAGCCCCTGACTTCGGGACGCCGGCGGCCGACTTCAACATGGTGGTCGACGAGGGGAGACGTCGACCCGGGAGGGGTGCCGACTTGGAGGGCTCCGACTTTGAGAGGTTGACTTGGGAGGTCGTCCTACGGGGGCGTCGACTTGGTGACGCCGACCTGGGGTAGCCGACTTGGTGAGGTCAGCTGGCAGCTGCTGGTCGACCTGGAGCTGGTCGATCTGGAGCTGGTCGACCAAGGGTATGGTCGACTTGGTGTGGTCGACCAGTGATGGCCGTTGACCTAGGTGGTCGACGGGTACAAGGAGAAGGAGCTAGTCGACTTGGTGGTTGCCCGGTCGACCAGGTTACCCGGGCGACGGGGTTCTGCGGAGAAGTGCGACTGTTGCCCATTTGACTTGGCGAAGCCGACCTTGGTGGTGGTATCCCGAGGTCGACGTGGCTGATCAGGTGCAGTCGACAGCACGTGAAAAAACCTAGAGTCTGTATGCGCTGTGCAGGTGACGAGGCACAGCACGCCAATCAGCTACGAGCACCTGCGAAGCAGTTGCGCTGCTGTCCTGCAGGTGCAACGCTGTGCAGCCGCCTTGCTGCAGCGTTGGCACAGCGTCGACTTGCAGTGTTGGCAGACCGCGACTTTGCTCTGCCGGAGCGCGGTCGACCTTGCAGTGCTGGAACGCGGTCGACCGTGCTGTGCTGGCAGTCGACCTACTTGCATGCTAGCTCCTGATGTAGTCAGTGTTGCTTCGCCATTGTCAACCATTGTTGTGAAATTTTGCTAGTGAAACTCTTGCCAAATCTCCCCGTGAATGTGTGCGTAGAGAGAACACAAGCAAACGACTAAAGAACGCTACGACCTCTCGCACAACCGTGCCTTCCCCGTAGTCTAGCTCTCGTTGTACGAGTTATCTCCGCAGCGCACACAACTCCACGTACCAACCGCACTCCACTCCACGTACCAACCGCACTCCACCA